CTCCCATCTTTTGTGTCTTCCTTCGTACCAGATGACACCCAGTACTGACATTCATATCTGGGATATGGCTTCTAACTGGACTGAATATGTCAGCATTTGGGTTTTGCTGCGGGGTCTGGTAGGGGCTTGCCATTGTCTGGGGCTGATTAAGTCGATGGCTAATGTATCCTCCTTGTGTAAAAGACAATAAATCATCCTTTAATGTATCTAATTCGCTTTTAAATTTACTATTTTTTTCCATTTGTACTTCTTGCCACTGTTGTTGGCTTTCCTGTAGTTGCTGCTGACTTTCTTCCTGTTTCCTTTCTTGTTCCAGTTACCACTGCTGTAATTTTTCTTCCTGTTTCTTTTCTTTTTCCTCCAACAACTGCTGTAATCTCTCTTGTTTATTTTGCTGTTCGAGCTGCCATTGTTGTAGGTTTTCTTATATCTGCTGTTGTCTTACTTCTTGTTTATTTTCTCGTTCGTCTTGTTTATTTTCCTTTTCCTCTAACAACTGTTGTAATTTCTCTTCTCGTTCTTCTTGTTTCTTTTGCTGTTCTTGTATTGCTGCCATTAAGTCTGCTAGGCTGTAGTTTGATTTGCCGTTTCTCGTTTCCATCTTCTCTTTTTCTTCTTCTTTTTCTTATCCCACTTCTGACACCAATTTGTTACGTTCGTTCGTTAATTAATTTTCCGCAAATTCGTTCCAACGAAACTTTAGCGACACAAGTCCTTTCTTAAATAGATCTGGTTTATTCTTTCCAAATACAACTTTACCGATACACTTAATTTCAACAGTCGCTCTATAACAACGCTATAATTCTCAAAGAACGTCTCATGTGCTCGTGCTCGACAATACTCAGTTCAATTACACATTGCTTCTGTTCTCCCGTCAGGTCGTGACCGTCTTATATATATATATACAAGACTAACACATATCTAGTAAATGCTAGAGCATTCATGAAGGAACAGGATATTTCTAGAAACAGGTGGCGTGATACTAGTCACGTGACCTCGCTGACGCAACAATATTTTGGGTGATACCTCGAGGTGAAGCCTTATCTATGTTTAAATAAAAAAAATTCTTGTGAATTAGAAAATGTTGGATTTAATCAGTCTGGTACACGATCGTGAAATGTAAGCAGTTTAATGAGAGATCCAGTAACAGCAAAAGCCCATTATCCTGCGAAGGCAAGTACATACATTGTTATTTGTGTTATGTCTGTTACAACAAAGATTGTTCATCTGGAATTTTACATTGCGTCCAATCCCTTTATTTCATTCACTTTTATTCATAATTATTCAGAGATTTAACATTATTTTGGCATAAATACCCCAATAACATCTGCTGTTATTCTGCAAATCAATCTGCTAGGTATACGCGAATGTTTAAGTTCAATGCGAGTGTTATGATTTAGATAGTTTATATAGCACGAGCATCAAATTTAGTTGTTTTTAGAAGCGATAGTTTATCACAAGTTTGTTTACGTAATTGTTTACGAATCATTCATTGTGTTGTTCAGTTGTTGTGAATTGGCGATTGTTATATTATTGGGTCATGTTACTCGAACCTTCTGAGTTTCTATTTCGTTGTTTTTAATTGAGTATTATTGGATCATAATGTCTAATAGTGTGTGGAATGTTTTAAACTTCTGTCAGGCTATAAATACGCGTCAAAAAATTTTAGTTGGTTTGATCTAAACTTGGTGATTGTATTTTGAGCCATAAATAGAGTATAGTGGCGATTTCTAAAGTGAAATTACAACAGATTGTATTATAATAACGGAGTAAAGAACAATAATTTGCCTTGTCAAATGATATTTTAAAGCAAATGAACCAAACTGTGTTGTCTTTGACGAAAAAGAGACAATGATTTACAACTGTGATAACCAACAGTGTCATGAACATTAGTATATACGTTTTACTTGTTTTAATATAATATTTCAAAACAAATGGGTTGGGTGCTGTCCATTTATTGTTAAGATTTATCGTCAACAAGTCACACACATCTAATGTAAATAATCCGGCTCATAAATAAAATATGACACTAAAGTTAATTCAGTATTATCTGAATATAACACATGAGGTAAATATCTTAGCAGTGTTACAGAATGGATGCTTAATTGCTATTATTTATTGCTGTTCTTAGCGTACTTGCATGGCGTCTATGCGTACAGTGGTTCTCAGACTTTTTCGCCCATGGATCACTTAGGCAGGTTCCCTCGAACACCTATTTGTCATTACCCCACACGTTTCCACTTGTAAAAACTCATCAGAATTAATATGAAGAATGACGCTACTTTTTATGCAATACGCATTTTGGACCAGCCCGTGATACACCTAGAGGACTCTGGTTGACCACACTTTTATTCTTCCTCGATACAAACTTTAGTACACAGTAATTTCACAATCAATAGGTTTCTCGTCATTTTAAACTTAACTACTTTTATAATACACGCTATAAATCACAACTATTCACAATCTCGATAACTTCACACACCAGCTCAAAACAGAATAGTAAATTAAACGGAACTCTCTTCATTCAATCCCGCAGGCATTTTCTGCCAGGCTTATACACTAAAAAAGAGGGCATCTCGAACAAACTCGGTCTTCCCCGATAATTATTGATCATTCGAGAAATTCATCACGTGTTACCAGCATCACTTGACTTCTGCTGTCATAACAGTATTTTACAGAAACCTTATATCTGAAAGTTAAATTCCGATCTCTTTGGCCTTAACACAACTTTATAAACTATTAAACGTGTCTTTAGTTGTCTTTCCTCGCATAATGATATATATATATTGCGAAGCGCGGGGTCTGTCCGAGCATTCGTCTGTTTTCCGTTTATGGCGGCCGCTTCCCGCGCTGCGTTTCAAAAACTGCTCATGCAGGCAAAGCTTAACAGTAGTTAACATGTACTTTTGAAAATGACAGGAGAGCATGCATTAATAACGTTGATTCCAAATTTTATTTTGAAAGGGGTGATTCTATACTACATTGTACTACATGTACTGTTGAAAATGACAGGAGAGCATGCATTAATAACGTTGATTCCAAATTTTATTTTGAAAGGGGTGATTCTATACTACATTGTACTACATGTACTGTTGAAAATGACAGGAGAGCATGCATTAATAACGTTGATTCCAAATTTTATTTTGAAAGGGGTGATTCTATACTACATTGTACTACATGTACTGTTGAAAATGACAGGAGAGCATGCATTA